GCCCCCGCGCCGCCCCCGCCCCGCTCCGCCCCGCGCCGCCAGCCCGGGGCTCCCCGAGCGGCCCCGGCACCCCGGAGCCGCCCCTACAACTTCGCCTGGGGGGTTTAATTAATCCCCGATCCCCCGCGGCTTTCCGGCCTCTCACCGAGAGCTGCGGGCTCAGAGCATCCCGCTGGAAATCCTTCCGCTGGCGCCATCGGGAGAAGGAGCGATGCTCCGGTGAGAGGGAGCGGCTTGGGCATCGTCTGCTCCAAGTGTGGCATTGCCACCATCTTTCCGTGTTTCCCCTGTGCCCTGTGGTGTCCCCGGGTGTCACCCCACGGATCAGATCCATCCCAGGTGTTGGTCTGGGGGTGCAGAAGCCCCAAGCAAAGCATCGTCCTCCCCTGCTTGTCACTGTCACCAGCTGCTGGTGCCTGAGGATTTGGGGTGCTCTCCTTATCACGTCGTGGAGATGCTCCGAGGGCTGGAGCCCCTCTGCTCTGGAGCCAGGCTGGGAGTGCTCACCTGGACAAGAGAAGGCTCCGGAGAGAGCTCCGAGCCACTTCCAGTGCCTAAAGGGGCTCCAAGAAAGATTGTCACAAACTTTTTAGTAGRACCTGTTGTCCTACACAGGTTGGACAATAAGTGATGATTTTAAAATAAAACAGGGTCGATTTAAACCAGATATGAGGAAGAATTTTTTTTTTTTGCATTGAGAGTGGTAAAACACCAGCACAGGCTGTCCAGGGAAGCTGTGGCTGCCCCTGGATCCCTGGAAGTGTCCAGGGTGAGGCTGGATGGGGCTTGGAGCACCCTGGGATGCTGGAAGGTGTCCCTGCCCATGGGAGAGAATTGGAACTGAGAAGACCTGTAAAGATCTCCTCCAAACCACAACATTCCACTATTCTGTGGCCCAGCACAAGGATTGGACCAATCTTAAGCACAAAAAATTTCAGGGRCTTCATCTCATAATTTGGAGGTCAYTTTTTGGGGTTGGAGTTTTGATGCTGCAACCTCCAAATGAGCCCATAGCCCATGGGTGCTCCTTGGGCTCAGATTAGGTCAGAGCCTTCAGCTGGAGCCAACAAAATCCAAATCTGGGTGTCCCAGAATCCTGGAATGGTTTGAGTTGGGAGGGACCTTAAAGA